GACCTCTTCCCGGCTTCTCCCGATAGGGGAGCGCCACCTAGGGGGGTCTGCGGGGCCTCAAACACGCACACACAACAAAAATCTGCGCAGCTTCGCTGCCCACTGCCTGCAAAGTAGTTGGCACCTCTCCGAAGAGGTCGGCGGACTCACGAACTCATGCCGAGGAGGTGTCTCAACTGATCTCAGGGTGAGATGATCTCGCAGGTGACCATAGCTGATCTCGCTTTGTAACTCACATTGCAATTACATTGGTTTCAGAGTAGCTGGCCAAAGCCTGGAATGTTTTCTTAGATGTGGGTCCATACTTGCAACATCGACATTGAGAATTGCATCATCTACTCTGAAACTACAGTACTTTCTGTCCAAACACTGGATCCGACCACTTGACGAACGCCACATGCACCGACAGTGGCGCGAGTGGCCTACAAACCATGGACGAACAAGCCATGCAAACCAGCTGGCCATGGGCTCAATGTCTTGCTCCTGCACACCATCCCTTGACATGCAAGCGAATGCAAGGTAGTACTAAGCAGTACTAAGGGCACCCAATGGTCCTCCGGAGCAGAGTAACATGCGACAGACTCATGTGCCACCGCTTTCTCACATGCGATGCCGCCACTCCCATCAAACCCCCAAAACAACAAACACCTACATGCCATACATCAGGCAGTTGGAAAACATCTTGCGCCGGCACCAATGTCTCATCACCAAGCATAACAAAACACAGCCTGAAATCTAAAAACTGAAGCACCCCCTGCGCAAACTGCTCAGAGTTTCCTGACGCCTCGGGTCTGGGTTCTTTGGAAGTTCGCCCCGTCCCGGACTCCGCCACGTCCGCCATCGCTCGGTCCCGGACAGCTCCCGAGATCTAAGAGCTTTAGAGGTCCACTGGGGAGCACCTGTCCATTGCATCAAGTCTGGGACGCCAGAACTCTCTCTCAGCCAATCCATCAAGTGCTACAGTTCCCTTGGTGCTACAAGTCCTTCTTTGAAGACCAAAGAGTTCAGCCACATCAATGTTTTATCTAGAAACATGTCACAGTCATCAAACACATCTCCCGCAGAATATGTGGCCAATGACCTGGACAATTCTGCAAATCCTATATATACCTGCTCTATCCTGGTCTATTTATAGTCACTATAAGAAATACATACATCATCGTCACTTGCACATCGTTCTGTGCTTCGTTTGACCTGACTGGTGCACCCACCGCACCTCCGGTCCCAGGTGGTCACTGCTCAGCACGCTGACCTTGCACCGCTCGAGCGGGCGTGCCGCTGCCGCCGTGTCGGACGCCCAGCGGTGAGGACCGGACGAGCGGTGGTTGATAAAGCTACATAGCAGGCTAGCAGGCTGCTAGCAGCTGTTTTCATGAACATTTGCATGGTCTGAGAATGAGACAGGTCTGAGGAAGGCTTGGTAACTCCCAAAGAGCTACGTTGAAGCGCCTTTGATCAATCATGCTGCCGCCAGTAACACCAGGCCACCGGACACGGGAGCGACGGCCCGGCTCAGCAAGCCACCGCTCGCGAAGCTGCGCAAGCAGTGGTCAGTGGGAGGGGACAAAGTACTGTTTGAGGCCAGACATGAATATTTATATATATATATACACCCGGGAAGACTGGACCAATGGAACTTGAACATGGACCGTTGGAAGACTACTTTCCTCTACAAACCAGTGGTTTTCAACGGTTTTCAGGTTCCATGTGGGCCTCTTCCAGAGTGTAATGATACGAATCGTCCGAGGGCTGTGCAAAGGCTTGAGAAGAACGGGAGGGGTTATGCCCCAGGATCCTCTCCAAGTTCGAGTTGAACGGGACAATTTCAGTTTGTTGGATGCTCCAGGCCCGAGTCGTGGCCTTAAGCATGTTGAAACAAAAAAGGTTTAACGCCGTGCCTCAGGATCCAGCAGGTAGTAGTGGCAAATCGCCTGCAACAAAGGCTTGGCTGTTGGCTGTTTCTATTTCTGGAGTTTGGCGATATGACAAAGCAATCAGTCCATCCAAAGATAAACAAGCAAATTGCTCCTGTTTCGTGGCCAAGCCAGTACCCGGCACCATGTGAACTCAATTGATTCTCGCCAGATGCGCGATGGAATGACCCCTCGATGCATCACGAGACAACAAACTAGAACTGAACTGTTCCCAGCGACGTAGTTGCAGAAGTAGTCTGCCTTCCCCACTCTTCAGAACCAGAACTCAGAACAACGGCTCAAACTCCCCACACATCTGTTCGACCAACACATCCCATCAACCACTCCTTGGGAAGACCGACCAAAAGTCCTGAAAAGGCTATTAGGTTGGAGGCCATCGCCCAAAAGTGGCAGACTTGGTCCCCTTCGAGCGTCTGGCCGGAAGCACACACACGGGGCCTCCACGCACCACTCATGGAAGGCGACGTTCCACCTGAGAACTCGATCCGGCCAGAAACCCAGAGGCCCCAGAGGTCATTCTAATTTTTGAGCTTTTCATCATGTGTGCTATTGTGTGCTAGCTGTTTGTTATTATAAGGTGTCTTCCGCCACGGCCAAGATATGCTAAGATGGTTCTACTTCTCGAACAGTGCCCTCAAACCACTTGGATTGAGAACCTGTTCACATAAATCAGAAAAGGTTTTGGCAAGGTGACCATCCAACGCTGTAGCAAAGGTGAGCGATCCAACTGTTGGACAGCGGAAAAACGGAAGGGGTCGTCTGCTTTTGATGCCTCGTTGTCTCGGACACCAACCTCCCCAACTTAGGAACAACAGGAACAACAAAATAGGATCAAAATGAACCACTACCAGGGCCCCGTAAGCAGCTCCTTGGAGGATAGTGGGTGTCTATTAACCACCCCTTAGTAAGGCCCTGGTATTTGTTGGTCTCTTGTCATACTACGGGGATTTTGCAAACCCCGCACGCAGCGCCTCTTCCGCATGTTCTCTCGCGCAGCGTCTCGGTAGAGCTGCGCCAGCAAGGGTGCGGGCCTGGCGGCTTTTGCAGGTGTCAAAAGAGCCAGAGAGTAGCCACTGTGCCAGGTTAAGAAGTATTTCTTCCCCAAATATCAGCAAGATATTCTCAAGTCCGAGTCCATGAGATGGATACTTTGCCCAAAAGCCATCCGAACCGACGTATTCCCTGAGCCATCCGAAGAAACATCGACGGCGCAGGAAGACGGCACGGCACTTGAGGGCCTTCCGGAGGCTCGGAGGACCTGGCAGGGATGCGGAGTGGGATTGGGTAGGTGGCACTGTTGGCTGAACCAAGTATATGAATTGGTAGTCTCATTTACTTGTTCAAACAAGTATGATTATAATTATACAAACTTCATTTTGGGTCCCAACTCCCCCAGCCACCTCCTGGTGCAGCTGTCCAAAGCGCCGGCTCAGCTGACGTAGGCGGCGTTTCTCGTCCATGACCTGCGAGATGAGCGGGGTGCGAACGTCCCCTGCAATGGAGTCAGTGTTGAGACCAGAAAATTTGGGTGTTCTTTTTTGTGGAGGAAGGCGATGCAAACATGATCCATGAACCAATCAACATAAACATCATTATGGTAGCAAACATCCAAACACACGACAGTATATTAGATGTTCCTTCCCTTCACGGATGGGGGGATCTTCCCTGGCCGGATCTGTTCAGTACAAAAACACCGTCACTTTCTATACAGGGCCCCTGTTTGTTGCCACAACATGATATAAATATCGTTTGACCAGGAACAAGTGTCCAAGTACCGGAAGCTCTGACATTGTTAACCGCAGCAAATGGGGTAGACCCCAAAACTTCACTTGTCAAACCGTTCCCCAGCGGGGATCAAGGGCTTGGGTGCACTAATATCGCTCTGCAGCAACATCCTTAGAACTTGATGTTGCTGTATGATCGAATGTTGTTGAAGTCCAAGGTTCAGTATGCTCAATCCATTTACTCACACAAGGGCAACAAAATCGGTCGAAGGAAGCCACGCTTGACTTTGTGACTTTCGAGGCCTTGTTTGAGCAAGCATACTTTGAGGCAAACCATGAGGTCTCACAGCACCTTAGTTGAGTAGTACAATTCGAGGTTGATTTTTTTCGGTTTCTTCATACTTAATTACTTTACGTTAACTAGGTCGAGACAACCCAAAGTCTTTGAACAATGGCACCTCCAAACAGAACATGGTGTTTGCTCTCCCCATGTGGCGTTCCTTCGGCCCGCTCCTCCGGGACGAAGCGCCGCATCGCGGAGGTGGAACCCTGCGGCCGCGGCCCGCCGGAGCGGCGACGCGAACGGCGAAGGTGCATCGACCGGGTGTGCCAAGCATTGGAAGATATTGGAAGCGTTGAACGAGGTCACCCGACTTCGGTCATCCATTGAGACCGTGGTGGGGTCCCTCTACAGGAGACTTGTTGGTGCTGCTTTTTTCTGGGATTCGGATGCTGCGCGAGCAAGTCGATCGGCAATGCCACGAAATCAGGAGGTTGCCAAAATACTTTGTCTTCACCTCTTCTGACGGGTGCCAAAATCAGGGAATGGGGGAACGGCTCCTAATGAATCCATAGTGAGGGATCATTCCATTCTTCATCATGTCTCTACAAGTCGCGCTAGTCACCTCCAACGTCTTCTGCCCACGTTTGACCCGGACGAAGAAGGACGTCGACCGGCCGAGATGGGACTCTCCGGAATCCAGGCCCTACTGACTCATGCACTTGTCATGTCTAATCCAATGAATCCAATGATGGATGCTGGCCAAACAAAATAGGACCGTTTCTCTGGATATTTCAAGTCAGAGTTGACGTAACTATGCGAACAAACACTTAGAATATCTGAATCTCTGGCCTCTCTCTGGTTCCAAAACTCAATTTCCGAAGTAGATATCAGCAACAAACAGTTCAGCGACTGTAGAATAAGCACGCGGGCGTACTCATATCTGAAAAGTATAATATATCACACCATGCCAACATGTGCAGGAACGTATCCACCAGGTACCGTGGCTTGCTTTAAAGATCTTTAAAGTAAGGGCCGACCTTCGGCGGAGCCGCCACCCTTGACCTTTTCTGCCATCCTCGATCAGCTCCCCGAATCGTCGGGAAAAAGCTCGATAGCTAAGTGAAGGCGCTAGAATCGCTAGAAGGGAACTCCTGCCATCATGATTCCAGAACATCAAAGCTTCACTCTGTCTTGTTCTTCTCCTGAAGCAGGCAGTCCCAAACATGGAGTCAACGCGTAGTCCAAGTGGAGCCCAAATGTCAACATACGTACTTTGTACCGGCAGCTGTATGCATATTCGAGAAATGTCTGAAGGTCAACACATTAGGATTTGGAAACGGTCAGCCAAGGCGATGTCATGAAGCTCCAGAGTCGGCGAAATTGTTCAATAATCCAAGTGTCCAAAATTTGAGACGTGAAATATTATGGGTTGCACACTTCCCAGAACCCCCATGTTCATCATTGTTCATCCATATTCCTTGACATGTTTTTCTTCTGCCCTACCCAGCTACGGCTCTCCTTCTCCGCCGAGGACACTGGAAACCACAGCCTCAGCTTCGCAGGGACCATCAAGTGAAGCTCTCGGGCTCGGGATCCCCCCTGCAAGTAAGTCAATCCCTCAAAATGGCCAGCCGCTTAGAAGGCAATTAGAGGCCGGGGCCTGAAGGCTCTCACCCCGCAAAAGACTGAGCAACACTAACTTAGGTTGTTGCGTTGGCAGCTGGCAGGGCAAAAAACGGGCCTCCTAGGGCCTCCTGAAATGTCACCTCCACTGGTGGATACCCATCCTACAACTTCGACAAATGTTTACATCTCCATCAAGGGGTGCTATTAGCCACACGCGTCTCAGAGTTTGACGCGGTCTACCAGTGTGTCAATAAACCAATGTACCCCTTGCAAAAGCCAAGCACTCAACACCAGGATTGACCCTGATCGCCTGAAAAAGCCAACGGCCTGAAAATAAAAAACTAAGACCCTGAGCACCCTAAAGCCAACTTGGATGCAGAAACGAATCACACAAACGGTCCTTCCACCTTCCATCCGAAGCAACGTATCCTTGTGCTGCTTGTGGCTGGGGTCATGCAAGGCCGTTTCGGAGGAGATCTCAATGGTGTCTCCAGTGCTGCGCATCCACTGCTGAACTGCCTCATCCACCTGCAGAACATGGAGGCTGGCGTATACGGGCATATGGCATAATAATGCCTCAGTTTAGTATAGGGCGGTTATCATTTCATTGTTTACATTATATAATGTACTGCAATATTGTAATGATACTATTACAGTATCATTGAAAAAGAGTCATGTGAAACTGTGTGATATTATATGTGTCACATTGTGTACGCAATACATATACTGTACATGAAAGAAATCCACCTTTATTTGCATGGTTCTGATCGGAGATGCTTGGAGTGGGATTGGATCCTCGAACGCTCTGTTCTCATGCTAGAAGCTTCCATCCCAAGGCTTTTTAGCACCATTGAGCACCATGCCAATTCGCCGCAACACGAGAACAGCCTGGCCGCCTGGAACGAACAGCCCCCGGTCCGTTCCACCTTGATCTTGGCCAAGGGCTCCCGGTGCAAATCCCGCTGGGCGACGACATAGGCTTTGCCCAAATACTTCACTTGGATCTGGTCCTTGTCCAGCTTCCTAGGCTACAGAAGGAGAGAAGGACAAACGCTCCGCCCTATTGCACATGGTGGCCTGGTGTTTCTTTTGGGGTTCAGCAGTCTGAGGATGTCGACTTTTTCCTGTCAAGAAGGATTGCAACACTGAAAGAAAATACACGAGAATATGTTGCATTTTTTTAGTTTGCCTTAGCTTAACAATCAGTTTCCTTCAGGTCTTGCCAGGGGATTGCGGATTCCATTTTTAGCCGGCTGTGCCCTGTGACCCTGGTGCGTTCAACCGAAAATTGCGCGGCTTCAGGGAGATCTTCCTCCTTGCTCTCAAGCCTCAAGCCTTTTCAAGGCAAACGTCCCAACAAAAGGAAGAGAAACACAATGAAACAATATGAAACACATCCTTCTTCGTCCTTCTGCCAGTCCTTCGGCCGAGGCTCTTCTTCATGCCCAGCCAGGTGGAGCCCGAGGGCAATCGCTCGATCTTCACCAGTTCCCCCGTCGGGATGTGGTCGTGGGTCCCGGCGAAGACGACACGCTCTTCGGCCTCCGGTGCCCCGTCGGGACCGGGTCGCTCTCATGCGAACGGCACAGCCGAGTTTGAAGACTGAATTCCTCATTCCACTCATCCATCGTTCGATCGAGTTCGTGGAATTCAACATATAATCCATTAATGTTCTTTGAATTCAACAAGGTCCAAACGAATGACTATGACATGGGGCAGCCGGGTGCGCCACGAGTAGGCTCCTTAGAAAAGAAAACGAACAAACACTTGGCCCCCTGAGAGCCACAACCATGAGCCGGTTTTCTGGTGAAATGATGGTTGAGATACAATGGGTTTGGCGAGGCCTTCGGGGACTCCCACTGAGGAGCATACAAACTTTTGATGGCTTGGCAAAAGCTCCCAGGGCCTTCCTAGTTTCAGTTTACAAATTGAACATGAAGCGGTGCGCGCATGATTGAGAGGACAATGACGTTTGTTCCAATCTGAAGGGTGTGAGCTGTCGATGGGGACAGGTTGGACAAGCGGAGGGACATCTAACATATTACAATTTACTTGATATTGACATGTCTTTCCAAACATATCTGAGCATGTCGGCAACCCGAGCACCGGGTTTCATCCACTGCAAGTGTGTCCGCATGTCCATGTGCGGTCCAACACCTGGGCCGCCTTCCGACAAACAAGAAGCCCCTCCCTCCAGCAAAACCAAGAAGCACGTCCCACATGTTCAAGTTTGTTTGACTGGCTCCAAAGGCTCCATTCAAAGCGCAAGCGCTTGACCCATCTCAAGAGTCATGCGATGTGATGTGCATTATATAATATTATGTAATATTATTATATAGATGTGTACATGTCCAGCCAGAACACCCAGACAGGATGATCCTGGTATGTCTCTATTGCGGTAAGTCTGACTGGATCGCCAAAAAGGCCGCGCCTCAAAGACCGTGGTGCGGCACTTCCCGTGGTAGCGAAAGGCATGAGGAAGATCGTCGCCCAGCACTGTGGTGCTATTCCTGTCTACGCCGGAATAGCACCAGTCCGGGATTTTCACGCCCAGCCTCCCCAATCTTAGTCGCATAGGATGGCGCACACACACACACACACCCTTGGTTTTGCGCCAATCACCCGACCCAAAAAACGTTCCGCATGACATGCGGTCCATGGATGCACCTGGCCCTAGGTTGAATGGAACGGGGATATGTCTCGATCTCTCCTGCCTAAGTCTCACCGAAGTTCAAACGTCAAATGGCTGGGATTGCCGAGGTTCGCCATGAGGTCTGCATGGTTTTCCGAAAGTCAAAGGGGCCTGTTGCGCTGAAGAAACTTTGTGTTCGCCAGCCTGGATCCATGGTTTCCACGTGGTTCCAACCATTGCAGGTTCTTCTTCCCTGGTAAGATGCCGCCCAGATTCATTTGAAGAAGCTTCATTGGAGCCTCGTAAGGACGCACGGTGTGCGGTTGGGCAACACCTACACGGAGCACGCACTCCGGGTCCCCCCAAAATAAAAACATACCAGGATTCCAGGAGTCGCCTTGGAATTGGAATAGTTTTCAGGATTTCCAGGGTTCATGCTAGTTCTTGGGAGGGTGATATAATATTGTGGAAGAAACGCAAGCAAAATAGATATATAATCAATATGATATTTGACCCCAGCCTGAATACAGCTTGTCGAATCCGGACAACACGAACGAGTTCCGGACCGGTGTCCGGCCATTGGCTTCACATGTTTCGCTCGCCTCGGTGTAGGCGGGATGAAAATGGAAAACCAACTTCTTCAGCTTCGCATAAGTCGAGGTCTTCTCCTGAGAGGTCCGGCGGTCCGGAGCGAGCAAGCTCTTGGAACACTGGCTTTTTTGGTGGGTGATTCCTGGCGATTCCTGGATATTCCTGGTGGCTCTTAAGCACATTCCTTGTTTAAGGGACCCTCAGCATTGACTTTCATATACGGTCTACGTGTCCTCCATCATCTCGTGCCCTCAGCGGAGAAGAAAAGTGATACATCCTGATGACATCTCTCAGTCTCTGACCCCATCAGTTTCCCTATGGAAATAGAGGGTTAACTTTTTTTCCACCTCTCAGTCTATCTCGCATGAGGATCCCTCAATCCCAAACGCTCTGCCATTGAGTCATCCATGAGAAACAATTCATTGGTAAAATCCATCGGTCTATCCATGGACTCGGTTGATCTCACTTGAACTCGGTTTGGGGTCTTGGATCCTCTTGGCCTATCCACTTTGAAATGTGTGGATCTCCGTCAATCTCAGTTAAGGATCCAAGGTCTCCGTTCTACCCGTCGGTTCACAATCCGGTCTATCAGTCTATTCATGTCTATCCACTGAGAAACCACCTCCTCGCTCACGCTCGCAGCCACACCTCGCTTCGTACCTCATCCGATCCCAGCATCGTACTTCTTGGGATCGGTCTCTGCGTCTTTCAATGCCGCCTCCCCTGCGCTGTCTGCCTCGCTCATGGAGCCGAAGACCTGCGAAAAACCAAACACGGTCCAGGAAAACCGTTCGGACCCGGTGGGTGATGTAGATAAGGAATATGTGTTACTGTAGTTTTTTGTTTCAATTGTGTGTGTGTGTTTTTATAACTATGTCTTTCCTTTTAACTGTTTTGTTTCCCAAATTTGTGTTTTTCACTGTTTATGATGTGGTGGGTGAGGCCATTTCGTTGTTACCGGCACTCGAAGCTCGAAGTCACTCGTTGATCTACACGACCGAAGCGTGTTTATTGCTGCTACCGCCTGCCACTTCCAAGGGAAAAATCCAACTTCCTGGCTTCAACATACTTCCAATTACCTCTCTAGGTGTTCAACCACTGTCTTAACAAGTCTAACATGTCCTAATCTACTTTCGACGCCTTCTCGGACGTTTTTTGCCTTCTCGGATTCCTTGGGAATGTCGAAGCTCACAGCTTGGAATTGATCTGGAAGATGGTCCTGCCCCATGCTTTGCATGCGTCGCATGAAACTTTGGCTTACATCAAGCTGGTTCAGCAGCTCGATCGTTTGGCTTCTGTCCAAACGAATGGCCATGGTTCTGCAAGCCCCTGCGCTGATGATGTGACAAGAATGTTCACTGTCAAACCGGAGCGTGTTGACATTGCTGAACACATTGCAATAGAAACTGTGATTCTGCATCATTATATATATATTATATGTCCCAAACAGTATTCTCATGCGAAAAGCGCTCTATATACATCACAACTTGACACAATATGTATTGAATTGTATTCTTGTGATTCTTGTCTCTTCTCACAAGTTCCTAGTCTTCCCCTGTATTTAAAGCAAATCACTAATTTGTGAGACATTCTACAAAAGTCTTCGTCTCTTCTTCCCACGTTGGAACACGAGCTGTGTCTCTTCGCCGTGGTGCCGGTCCTTGGGGCAGGTCCAAACCTCGGATCTCGGCGCCGTGTCCCGTTCTGAGCGAGAAGACACATGGGTTGTCGCACAGCCCGATGGCTTGAGCCATCAGTTAAGAATCGATAGGGGAGATCAGGGAGATCTGACTACAGTACAATATTGGTTAAGAAGAGGTCCTATGAAACGAAAAGCATGAAAAAAGAAAGCACACCTCTGGACTGCAAAGGATTGTCAGAATGTATCGAAGCCTCTTCCGGGTACCCTGAAGCAACTTCCACATTTCGTTTCACTTGCATGGGCTGTCGGATGGTCAAGGGTCAGGGAAGCCTTCCCATGCACCGACCCTGCACCTGCAGGGGAGTTGCATGTATAAATTCTTCGCACCACTTCGGTCATCCACAAAGGTTTCTTATTGAACCTTGGAGGGAAAGAGCTCCATTGCCACGGTCATTGAAACCTCGAGAGCAACGGAGAGAAGGCCACCAGCAGCCATGAAAAGGTGGCCTCACAGCGGACTTTGAATCGCCAAGCAACGCACTTGTGCAGGCCACTTTGATCCAGCTCATACTTCATGTCACCAGCGCATAGGACCTGCGTTTGGAACCAATACTCCGTTTGGTTGCACGGAGAAGTGCACATGTTCGCCGCGCAAGTTGGGTGCCCTTGTTGCTGCTGCAGTCAAATTTAACTTGTTTGCCTTTAGGCAGTTCTTACACACTTTTCAGAAGCCGCTTGGAGCTATCTTCATCAAAGCGCTAATTAATTACATACGACTAGCCGTAGAACTGATGGGCAATCTGCTGAAATGGTCAGCAACCGCCACCTTGGCATGCTTGATGATGGATGAGAGCAGGCCCAGTGATTTTCAAGTTCGCTCGTGATGTCGTGTCTCCAAAAGCCACCCCACAACCCAGCAGCAGCGAGAGGTGAAGCAAATGCACAGCAAAATCGTGATGGAGGGAACCAACATCAAAACAGCCCTCTTGCCAAAAGTCCATTCCATTGGGTACGCTTCCCAAAATCATCGTGGAAGAAGTGGATGGCATGGCCCATGCATGGCCCCGACTTCGGATGAGAAACAGGTGCCATCCACTTCCAATGATAGATATCATTTGATTTGAAGGAAGCGTCTTCACTTGCCCAACTCCTCCGGTGGGACCGTGTATCACTTGGTACTCTGCCGTGCTCTGCCGACCTCGGCGCATTTGCCAAGGCCGATGGCATCCTTGGTGGACGAGGGAGTCATTGGATGTCATTGGATTCTCAACATGCAGGAATCACCCAAAGCCACCAGATTTGAAGGTTTGTTCTCCCTACTGCAGCCGCTAGCCTACCACAGTTCCCTACAATTGCTTCTACAAGGCGCTTCCCATCAGCTTCAGCTTCCCCCCTTCCTCCTTCGCTTTCAGCGCGTCAGCTCGCTTTCAGCCGCATCCGTATTTTCGCATCTTGGGCATCGCAACCCAGTGACATGGTGGGACATGGGACGAGTCCTCGTCCGGGAGTTCTCGGTCCAACCGTCCACAAGTCGACAGTTGACCTGAAAACGGATGCTCTGACGGATGCTCAACTAAGTTGGTACCGATGTTTTAGGCTGTGGCACTGACTTTTCAATATTATACAAATGCTCTTAAACGGAGTCATCACATGTGCGTTGGTGTAGAGCCAGCAACAGGTGATGAATTGGTATATAATTATAGCTCTTAAACGTTCAGCTGCTTCCCGTTCCATCCGAACCCCCGAACCGTTGAAACGGTAAGCCGTCCGAGTCTCTAGGCCCTTCTCTTGGATGGCGGCGCCATGCTTGGCCATGGCCGCAGCGGTCACCACACGGATCAACTTGATGAAGGACTTGAAGTCGGCCTTCTTGGACCTCGGACTTGAATCAAACTGACTAAATATGTCAAATTGAATGAACCAACATGGAATCATGATGTTTCATGTTGTTTCTCACGTGAGATCTTCATATTTTAAACATTCATTCTGAAATCCAGGAGCTTCGCCAGCAAATCATCAATGTCCAGCTTGTCCTTCTCCACGATCTTTGGCCCTTCGCTCTTCATTTGCTCCCTCGGCGCCATCCGCCGGTGTCAGCATTTGCGGAGGGAGAACTCCACCAGCGGCGCGACCGGGGGCGTTGATGTTGGTCGAGACTGCTACTATGTGGGGGGGCTCTCGGTTCTATACATTATATACATACTATTCATGCACCGTATGTCTTAGAAGCATTTTCGAGCGTTGAAGATGAAGTTTGGAACAGTTTGGACTTCTATTGATGCCAAAAAGCTTCACCTTACGACACATGCAACTCTCCTATCAGTCTGTTGCAATTGTCCCCTCCAACAAACTCCAAAAACACATGTTGTGCAGGGTGGCATGGAAAAGGAGGTCCGGCATAACTTCCCTCCCTACAGCCAGGCCAAGTTGATTTGGTGCTTCAGGAGTCAATGGACTGGGAACATCTATATAGTCTGAAGATCTTCACCTTTCTCTCCATATTCATTGTCCAATGCACATTGCCCTGGGAAAAATGCGGGAATCCGACCGTCAACCATCTAGAGTGATTTGAAGTTAGACTGGCCGAACTCACCTGACTTGGCAAAGTTCCCCATAAGGAAGTGAAAGACCTTCATTGGAAGGGCAAAACTCACACCTCACCACATCCAGGTCAAACGATGTCGACTCCAAAAACCTTTGACTCAGCAGCATCTCCCAAGCAAAGCCCAATGAAACGATCCCAGCCACGCGCACATCTCGAACTGCTTGACCTGGTCCTTCCCAAATTTCTTCCTTTGTTTGTGCGGTGAACTCATTTGGCTCAACCACAAATGCCGCACAAACGTTTTCAGTTCTTGTTGGAACTGTCTTGTGCAACGTCACCCGAGCTCTGGGCCCTGAGAACATGAAATTCGTCGTGCGGGGTCGCATCTGTAGCTACCACTGCACAAGTTTCAGGCACGCTGTGCGTGCGACTCGGGATGTCCATGCAGGCCTTCCAAGGCGAATTCCCAAAGAATCTTTTTGGGGTGGGGTGAGAGGAGATGGCACAATCCCCAAGGTCCGTGGTTTAAATGGACTACCATCTAAAAATCATCTTGAATCATCTTGTTTTTTGGTTCCTCCTTCTACTACCAGTGTATATACATAAATAAGTGTCAGACTGATGAGCATAGATCAGCTATGACATCACCTCTCAGCGTGAGATACCGTGAGATCATGACACCCTGATATCGGACCCGACTGGACTCTCTGAGTGTCTCAAAAATGAACTTGGCAAACTTCTCCTTAGAACCGCCGCAGGACGATGCATTGATCTGCTGTCGGACTCAAAAAGGACATACAAACAAACATATTATAAATGTATAACTTATAACCAATATAGTATTCAAGGCTGAGAGGAAGGAAGGACCTAAGGAACAATATCTCCGTCTGGACTTGAGGATCCAAGTCTCCATATTGATGAAGGATTTCGAGCTCCTCATCCCCATCTGCAAATCCTCAGCGCTCAGCTCACGCAACTGTTGCAGCCAGCTTCCCGTTGGCCAACTCTCGGGCATCATCTCCTGTGGAGGCACGCACTCTTTGACCCCGTCCAACTACATCCACCATCACCCGACCCAAATGTGAACAAAAAAAACAAAAACACAAGAAATCCTGTACCATCTGAGAACTACACAAACCCACACCGGAACTGATTGATCTTATATATATATATAAATATAAATATGTATATATATATATTATAGATATTATATATATATTATGAAGGAATATGTAATTCAGTACCTGCATGCAAGTGAAGAAAGTGCGAGGAAATGGTGATTAAAAAAAGTAAAACACAACACCACGTGACGTGGCATCATTTTGGAGGTCAAGCTTTGGGGAAGGTCTTTCACATCACTCCAAACCACGGTCTCCTGCTGAGGCACCTGGACCAAGCTTTCCTTCTCCTTCTTCTTCTTGTCACCGCCACCGCTGCCGGCCATCGCCCGGCTACACGTGTCAGCACACGTCATCTCCCACGCCTCCGTGAGGGCACGCGCAGCGACGAAAACGGCGATGGCAGCGACGATGATCGAGGATCGGGTCACAGGACTTGGCCCTCAAGTACATGCGAAGAGTTGGGCCCCCATTCAGTGACTTACCTAAGAATTCCAATTTGCTCCCAGTCACTGAATGGGCCGCTCTTTGAAAGAACTCACGTGCCCGTGCCACGCAAAATAACTGTTCCACATCCGGAGACAACCACGGCTGCAGGTTTTCAGGCTTCAAAAAGCCTTCCAGCACATGAACATACATGATTCCTCAAGCTCCACCCAACGTCCACCCCTCCATTTTCGCCCATGCCATCCTTCCTCGCGCTTTTCTCGGTCCTTCCCGGTCCCTCACCGGTCCGAACTCGGTCCGAACGGGCTTCCGAGTTCTCGGCCCGGGCACCATCACGCAGCAGCTGCAGTCGAAAATGCAGTCCAGCAGGTCTTGACCCACATGTTGCCCTCCAAACCTCGGCACCGGACGCACACACACGCGACACGGTGCTGTTTTCTATATGTTTTCTTTGGTTCGGGCGACCGACGTGCGCGGGTTCTTTTCGCTTCGTGGACGGGGCCGGTCTTGTATTTCTCACACTGAGGTCTCTACCTCTCTCTGTGGTTGGGATGGCGTGCATGGTAAAACCACTGACAGAAAAGCCATCAGGTGGGAGCTAAATGCTATAATTTAATGCACCCAAAAAAGTATACGCCTCCTCAAGCATATTATGTTAAGATTCGGCACTTCGACCACTTCGCACTGAAGTTCACAGCCCCTGAACATCTTTCTTCAACCGTCCCTTAAAATCAACTCCACTGCCGACTCCGCGACTCCTCATAGACTGCTTGGAGGGTCTGGGCGAACTCTTCGCTGACGCCAAGCCTGGACAAGTCCACCTGAGCCACGGCAGGTGAAAAGCCAGGTGCCTGGATCATGACATGACCAAAGGGCATCATTCGCATGATCATGAGGTGTCTCTGATGACTAAGTCACATGTAGAGCTTCTAACGCTAGAGATGACTAAGCTGATGACTAAGCCAGGAGCTCTCTGATGACTCTGATGACTGAGTCACTAAAATGAACATTTGAGAGCTTCTAACCCCTAAGCCTGGTAACTGTCCCCCTCGAACCTGGAACAGAAACAAATCATGAAGCAAGCGAAGGCTGCAACGCCCATGGCAGCTTCACCCCAATCAAGTAGGATTCTATCAAGAGGTGAACCTTCCATCATCATGATCGCATGCTGACAAAGATTGAGCAACATTTGGTGCCTGGAAATCTCAGTCATGAATGTGAAGCAACACCCCTCATGAGGCTATTAGGAGGGTAATCAAAGGTAAGTAATGAATCCTGCAACAAAGCAAAGTTCCCATCACTCGTTGTCTTCTGGGGTCATTCAAATCCCACAAGGTCGCCCGAGGTTGAACGAAGAAACGATGAGAACCCTGCTTCGGTACCATTAGAGGCAATCCCCCTAAATGAGGGTCAGAACCTTCAAAGGGAAATAGATTCAGCATCAGGTGGGGGTCATGCGGCGACGAAATAAGTCTAGCAATCATTTTGTCAGTTGCTCCTTTGCACATAAATATCCACACAGCTACATGGCGCCAATATGCGCCAATGCTCATCACCGTGTTCGTCACCAAAGCTTGGGTGGTCTACCAGGCCAAGCCGATGATCGACGCTGTCTGGTTCTGAGGTTCCAGGCGTGCTCCTTCAACAAGTCCTTGGGTCGTCTGCTGTGGAGCTGATAAACCAGCTAAGTCACACACCCCAAATCTGCAGTAATGAACTGCTACTGCTGACCACCACTTCCTTCTATCATGAAATGGGGAGCAAAACAGCAGGCAAACTTTCATGGAAAGTTCTCTTTAGCTGGGGAGTTTGAACATACAAGAGCCGATTCGGCTCCCGTGAACACATTCGGCCGCACGGATTCGGCCCGTGTAAAAACGAACATGTTCAACGATGACCTGTCTGGGACAAACGCCCGATTTTTGGGTTTGGGGGGTCAAGGTAGATAACCAACGCATTCATGTTCATCACTTGCTTCCTGTCCATGTTATGTTGGTGTGTCCAGCTGATCCAGCTTGCAGCAACTAGCAGAACTGCTGGAGTTGGAGAAAACCCTCAAGCCGCCATCCTCATCCTGGTAGCAAGCAGGAAGAGGTTCCCTCAACTTCGAGAATCCATGACTCCTCAAGCCGCCCCTGACGTGGCGGCCGTGAAATCCGAGTGTCCACTACTTGTTCGGCCGACAGCACCGACTCCAGTCCCTCCAAATCCAGGGTGTAGCGGGGCATCCGTCAATATGGATACCGCAAGCGAGACTAAATCAACGACGCACGATTTGGCAATCGACACGGGAAAGAGCTTGAAGCTGAAACGTCCGCGGAACGCTGCGATCTTTTCGAAAAGGAAATTGGGCATGCCACAGCCGTTGAGAGAAAATATGCATGAATGATATACATATGGACAATAAATGGACTATAGTAAAGCCTACACATGGACCCTTCATGACCCTTCCATACAATCCATGCATAGAGTCTTTAGAAAGGTTCAGTCTTCTAGTAGTCTACTGTATACCTCCACCATCCTGACCCCCACATCTACCCCTGTTCACCCGCCCCACCTGAGAAGCCAAGTCCTTCAGACGTTGCTCATCGTCCAGCAGATAGCGGCAAAGGTTGAGCAAGGCCTCGCAGGTTGGAAGGTCCCAAAATCGGAATGCAAGGTCTCCGTCTCTGCGAGGGGTCGCAGAGAAACATGTGCGAGGAAAATGAAACAGGTCAACAAGTCATGCAGGGAAATACTGTTCCACTGATCCCATCGGAAGGTCCTCGGAAGTGTTGTTGGCTGCTGCCCCCCCCGCGGCCCCTTCACCCTGCGCCTGATGGATCCTCTTGCGCCGCGTGCGTGGTGGGCTCTCACGGCTGCCTGGCAGTTTCTCCGGCCGATCGGTGGAAAGGGCAAAGGGAAGTCGCTGAACGCTGCTCCCAGCTGTTCCCTACATGGGATCCATCCAGGGCCAGAAAAAGCTGAGACCCCGCCATATGCCATTAACGTTTCTGAGAGATGCCCACTGAGGATGGCTTCCAGAGCACCCACAAAAAGTGGTGAACAGTGAGCAATATACCCTCCCTGAAGCAATCAAGGAAGTGGAAAGCCAACAGGAAAACGGTCAGTTCCAAGAGTCCAAGCGGCCATGTTTTCCACGGAGGGGACCCATCCAACCTCACATCCGCCCAGCGGGAAGCCATGGGAACCCACAGCCTGGTGGTCGTAAATCCACAAGGCCATCCAGCATGGCTTTTCTCACTGCTGGACCTCGGGTGCCGGACACAGCGCCACTCTGTCAAACTATGATGCACTCGAAAAACGACTGGGACCCTGACAGGCCCTGAGAGCACACTCTGCTCAAATCTGCAGTCCCACCACCCTTCGAGGAACGTCTCGCCCGGGAAGGCGCCGCGCCCAGCTCTTCGGATCGACGGTTAGGGGCCCCGGTCCACGGCTGGAGAGCATCCGGTCCACCACTCGGGCTGCCTGCGTTGGCGTCGCTGTGCAGATGTTTCAAAGAGACATGGTGAGTCACGGTATTAAAGGCGGTATATGCCTGACATGTGGATGACATGTAAAGACATGTGGAAGTTGTTAGACCATGTTAGATCGGGTCATTGGGGCCGGCCTCCCTCCACAGAAGAACTTGCACTACATCGGTCAAACATCTTGCTTCGGAAGACTCACGCTGTCCCTCGCTGACCACGCTGACGCCAGCAAAGTCTTTTGCGCCTCTTCGAGGAATGCCCGACAAAGGCCTTCGTTGTACTCCTTGGGACAGCATAGAAAAGTTAACAAGTAAGAAGCAAAAGTCATCGATCCATGCACATGCTAAAAACACATATCATCCAAGGGGGGTTGTGGATGGTTGTGGACCTTGTGCCAGCTCAATTCACAAGATATAATATTAAACAAAAAAAAACACATATAAATATCATATCTATAATGTAGACAAGGTGATCAAAAATCTCCCCTGCCAACCTAATGTAGACTCTTGATTGATCATTTAGAAAATACGGTATGGTATGGATTTTTGCTTGCATCCAAATGGATGGGGTTATCAATCACGAGTCTTTGGCAGATTGAGAGCAAATGGCACAATCCCCAATGTCGCAATTCTGGACCACCATCTGTCTAAGACATCTTGGGGGTGCCGTCGAAGCTCTGAAACTGTAGCAGCACATGCCTGCAGCTTCAATTGCAACCTTTCATGTGCAAACAGAAAAAAATCAGCAAACGTGTACTCCCAAAAAGTGCGACCTATAGGCAATGATCTTATTTCATCGAAATTCCAACCCCTCCAAGTCTGAAAATCCCAGCCCCTCTCAGGCTCCACCTGGCCGATGCTGTCGAAGCCTTCAGCCAAGCGGGGCCCCAAGTAGCGGAAGGCCTCTAGCCCGAAGCACGGCCGAAGAGTCTGGAGTTCCAAACGGGTTCCATCAAAATCGTCTGGAAAACAAGTCGGATTTCACTTGCCTTGCCTTATAGGTCCTTATAGGTCTAATATTTGCTTTGCCTTATCGGTCCGATTCTAGGTTTTTTTTCAGCACTTTCGCTTTCAGTCTTCGCCCTCCAAGAGTTCTTAACGATGAAACTGGTAGGATACTGGACACATCAGATTGTAAATGTTGGCTCAATGTCGGGAGACAAAGCCCAAGAATCTTATACACATGACTCAACAAAGTCGTTACAACATCCTAAACACCTCAGTTCATGATTCATACATTTGTTTCACTCAGCAAATTTGCTGCTACCTACGAGTACGGTTTGGTCAAGTCTTCCGCCCTCCGCCTCCTCCGCCTGCTGGGAGCTTCCTCCAAAATGGTGGCAAATGGCAACTGGAGCCCAGTGGATGGCCCAAAAGAGATCAAACAACAAGCGTGTATACCGGGACCCGCCAGTTCGTACCCTAGAAACATGGTACAATGGTACAATGATCCTATGAAAACAGGTGCTTGTCCTGGTACCCATTTAACAAAAGCACTCTCTGAGGCTCCAGGTAGTATCGGATTCCTTGGAGGACTTGGGAACAAGTTTCGGGGCTCTGAACTCTGCAGGATCGCTGAAACAGCTGGAAATCAAACGTCGGCTCAGGCACGAGAGGCGCAAACAGAGCCATGATCTATGCAATTCTGAGTTTTAGTGGATGATGGCCAGAACGTCCCAAAACTGGTTAGCAACAAAGAGTAAAAGGCCGGAATACAGAATATATATATATATATTTTTCTTAAAATGTTCGACAATGAATGGACAAGTGCATCTCTTTGCGAATTATATATAGTGATTTCAGATTGAGCTTCTTGTGCATAAAGCCACACCAAACCTGATCCGCCTCGGCCACGAGGATATCCACGGCGCACGGTGGCGGCACAAAGGCCATGGGCTGCCTGAGGGGCCATTCATTGTGTACCGTACGAGGTTAGAAAGTAGGAGAAACATGTCCAAATATAACAGCGTAAAGATGCGTAAAGTAAAATAATGACAATCTTAATATTATATTATGTAACTGAACCTGATGTTCCTGGGATGTTCCGTATATACTATATTAAGCACTGGATTTGCTTCATGTCTGTGGCTGACTTCCCCCACATCGCCCTCACATCGATGCGATGCAAAGTCTCCCGCTAAATAGAGTGAGTCTGCTTGGACACAAAGTGGCCTTCCTGCATTGGGTTCTCTTGGTGGTCACTCCCTACGTGAGGATTTCTCATGATTTATCGATTAAGATTTGACACTACATAGAAACTACCATGTGATCCTTTAAAGGCAGCAATGATATGTGACAACTTTGGCTTCTCCATCTATTCTATGTGTGTACCAACGCCCACCGTTCGGCGCTTGGGGGAACTATCTGCTAGGGCCACCAGCCACGCTCAACAGCCCGCGCCAAGAGCGTGATGATCCGCGCTCTCTGAGAGCTCCAAGGCCTTCATTGGCCAATGCTTGGGGCGTTTTCCTACGGAAGGTTTGCCCGGTATGCCAGAAAAAGAGTCGTGAGTCGTAACCAAAAAAAAGATCCGCACAGAAACCAGCTCCGATGCCAACACTTCCTCAAGAATCGTCAAACTCCCGAGTTTGGGTGGCAAACTGCAAAAACGCCCGCGGCAGTTTAACCTGGCATCACATCCGAAGTCGAAGGTGGGACTGGTGACTGGGGGGCCGGGTCTATTCTATCCCTATCTTCTGAGCACAGTGAGCGAGGAGCCCCGGGGCACACTCCCTGGAATCATCATGGATGGTGGAAGTGGAGAACGGTCCAGGCACTGGAGACTCGGACGACGATGAAAATCCGAATGTCAAACGTGGTGATGGCTTTCCACTCACCCATGATGATGCCAAGGAGTGTATCATCTGCTCATATCTGCTCTTTCTCAGGCGATGCCAAGCATGTATGTGGCACAGTGGCACCCCCTAAACATCCCTGCAAATGTCTTCACTGCCCTCACCCGCCGAACCCCAGGCCACATCCCAAGCCCCGCAGACCTTTCGTCCTTTCGTCCGGTCTGTCCTTTTCGTCCCTGCAGACGATCTTGCAGACGTCCCCTGAGACTTGACCTCTGGTTCCATGTGAAGACCAATCAGGTGGTGCCATCCACTTCCATCAGGTGGTGACTCGGATGAAACATCACATAAAGTTTGAAAAATAAAACAAACACCTTCTGAGTGACTCCTGGTTTCTAGAGGAAAGTCGTCTTCCTTTGACTCTCAGACTCCACTCACCCAGCTCTCCCCACCTCTGGGGCTCGCCGCACCGCGGCGGCAGGCGGTCGTTTCTGTGGCCGGCCGGCGCGCCTGGGCGGGGTGGGAGCGGGGCATGGCGAAGGCTTGAACAAAAACAAAGGGATGATTCATAAGGGTTCATCAATGAGAAGTGGTGCTTTGCCAGGTTTTGGTTTCGTTGTTCTTATTTCTTTGCCTGTGGCATTGCATACATGATATCAGTTACAATTATTGAACAACTGCTGTTGGAAGAGAGCTCCTCTAGATCGCCAGTCTGTCACCCCGCCACAGCTTGATCCGGCCTGGAGAATGCCAACAGCCATCCATGGTTCAGCGACACTCGGAGCAAAGCGAGGAGCTGGTGGAATTCATTCCAATGATTCCACGTTGCCGAGTAAATGTGTGTGTGCATGTGTGTGGGGAACGTGCGTGTGTGTGATTGTGTGTGCGTGTGTCTGTGTGTGTGTGGCAAATGTGGGTGTTCTGATGTGATTGGAGTGTGTGGATGTGTGTATAGATGTGGTTTTACATATGCGCCAGTGTCCGAAAAGTGGTGTGGAGCTAGATGGGTTCCCTGCAATCATCTATGCATGTATGGGGGCCCCTCGATGGGCCTTGGCTTTTGAGAACCGATGATGTTGGGAGTCTGCTGGTCAAATCGACCCACGTTCTACCTCCTTCCAGCATGTAAGAATCAAGCAAGTCTAACCATGTCAAATCCCAAAAGGCCCTTCCCTCAAGTGAACATAGTTAAAAAGATATGCTAAAAGTCTGATGCATCGGTGCCCGAGTCCTCCGAGTCCTCCGACCCGCCCCGACCCACCGGCCACCCCATCCACCTACAGGGTGCCTTCAAGAGTCCATAAATGGCTTATCGAATTCTAAACAAGAAAATAGCTTATCGTCCATAAATGGCTTAACAATTGTTTTTTCATCCACGTCTAAGAAGACGGTCCGATTCCGTTCCGTTCCCCCGCGAGCCGCTGTTCGGCTCACAGGTCGTCTCGCAGCTTCCGGTCAGCCTGGAAGCAGCGACCGGCGACGTCCGGCGGCGGCGTTGTGCGGCACCGACGTAGCTTCCGCAACGGGTTGCACCGACGTAGCTTGCTGACAAAACAACGGATGCTACTTACTTTTGCCGTCCCTTTTAAGGTCTTTAACTTGGATGATTGATGTTCAGCTGGCACTGTAGGGTACTTCGCAATAAAGACATCCATCAGGACCACTAAGATGACAGCTGCAAAAGTCTCTAGTTGAAATGCAAAAGTATCAGTTGAACTGCAATCCAGTGCCGGTGCCAGTTGAATTGCAATCTAGTACCAAATATATCATACGGGCTAGTGGAAAACCATCAGCTGTTTGGTTTTGGAAAAGGGTAATCATTTTGGCCATGCCATCCACTTCCATTATTGTTTCATTTTGTGGGATACGTAAACACACATTTGCTCTCCACCTGTGACAATATTCCCCGTTTAAGTCCCTGCCAAATGCATGTGTTGATCCTTGAAGAGAACGCCCTTGCAGCGAACGCCCTTGCAGCTCTGGATGAGTGATGATCAGTCCATGAGGTACTTACTCAAGTTGACTCAAGAACGATTCTTTGAGCATGCATGTCAATTGGCACTTTTTGCATGTGCGATCTGAACATATTGGAGCAATGAAACTGTGTTGAATGGATGCTGACTATCAATGTTGCATTCTTTACATTCACAAATTGTGAGTCACCAACTTAGATGAAGGGGATCTGGCTCATTTCTACATCCTGCAAAGTGGGTTGTTCTCCTTGCCATGCATATGCCAAGCCTTGGGCACTAAGATGCTGGTGTTCCAGTAGAAGACTTTCGAGGCATCCAAGGCATCTAAGGTCGCCATGTCCTCCGAAGCCCCAGGAATGGTGGTGTTGGTGGACCGGAGCGAATCCGTGCGCGAAGTATGTTTTGAAGATTCATCCATGATGCATTATGACCATACATGACCTCTGCTACACAGTGAAAAGCGCATGCAACAGGTGACCACCTCCAAGGTGAAGCAACAGGAACTAAACATGAGTCATGCAAAACGAGGGTGCATTGAATGAGCTGGAGCAGTGCTTTGAAGAACTGCCAAGCGTTGCAAGACTTAATCTCCAATAGTGTCAATTCCTGAATTTGTATAAGACCTCTGGTGGATGATAGAGACATCACTAACGGGCTTGGTCAGGTATGTGTGCCACATGGGCCGGATGATATACAAAGAAAACACCCAGCTCAATACATGTATCCATTGACAGCTATTCATGGAGTGCTTTTACTATGTTCCTTTGCAGAACATAACCAAGGGGATCTGGCCAAACCTACGTTGCAGAGCGAAAAAAACAGCTGTTGGTAGCGAGTCATTCCAATAAAGCATATGCAGCCTACTGAACAAATGGACACGGTCCAGTGCATGAACATGCTTGCAAACGGTCAAACATACGGTTGGGGGGAGCCTATGAGCCTACACCCCGGCTCGCTAACATGGAAGTGGACAATTCCCTTTGGGAAGACTATACCTTCCTCTATACACACGTGGTGCTATCCACTTCGACGATAGTTTTTCTTGGAGTGTATGTCTTCTTGATTATAAAGAAGCCTTCCGACCCCTCCAAATAAAAGACCTTCTAGAGGAGTGGTTCTGCAAACCATTCACTGCCCAACATGGGCAATGTCAGACTCGAGCTCGCGTCGCGCTATGATACAGTCCTACAGTTTGCCATTCATCCCTGAGATTCCACTTAGTCCATGCATCCCTGCCCCAACGATTCGCACGGTCCGCATCACTGAGCTCGAAGTCCAAGACCTCCAAGTTCTCCCGGAGCCGTGCCAGCTGGCGTGGGGAAGCCCAACACATGCAGGTGCTTAGATGGTGTGTTGTAGATCTTGGTGACTCCTGCCACCATGCCTAGGAAGCAGCCATTATATTACTCACAAATGCGTTTGACGTTTGAAGGGTCAGAGTTTCTTCAGGCGTGTCGGGTCCATCTGCTGTAGGGGGCGCTTGTTCAGTTTCCTTGGGCTCTCTAGTCAGCAAGCAGAAAACCAACGTGACCAAGGGTCTCTTGAAGGCAATGGTTTCCACTGAAGGGCTGTGCATTTGTCAACGCTTCCCACACAATTTTTTATCCCAGAAGATGCTGATGCGAGCCACCCTACAGTGAACCGCCCCCACTTGCCTTGTACATATCACATCGACCAAACAGCAACAAAAAGTGTTTAAAACCAACCCAACGGTGCTTCCTAGTAGCTAGAAGCTACTAGTAACAAGGGCATCGCTACTAGTAACAAGGGCAGTACTACTAAATACTACTAGTAACAAGGGCAGTACTAACCCAGCACCACCCCCCCCCAAAAAAAAAATACATCGACCAGTTCACCACCTCTCACCACATCTCCTTGCTCCGCTGCGGGTCCTTCCCTGCGCTTCCCTGCGGTGCCTGGTTGGACTTCGGTGTCACGTGCACCTGGTGCTGCACCGCCCAGCGCAGGAGCACTTGCCCCGGCGAGCGGCCGATGCGCCGCGCGATCTGCTCAGCCGCTGGGGTGTCGGCCACCACGCCTGACGATGTGGGGATTGAGAAGTGGGCTGGTTTCTGGAGATTGAAGGGGGGACGGAGGGCACAATTGAAGTGACTGTTCTTTTTTTTTAATTCATGGTTTTGGGTGGTGTTTCAATCAGTCTGCTTTCCCTGTCGTGAGCATCTAAACTGTTGAATTTTGAGCATGTGTGTTTGACATCCCAATTGTGAAGGGTTGGGTGAAATCTTCAGAGCCATCGTTGAAATTTAAATTTTGATGAGTTTTGGTTGGGCTGTCACATGGTTCCCGACAGCTGCGCCTGTGCCAAATCCCGTCAAGAAGATCTTGGCCTTCTTGGTGTACTCCTGGACATCTCCTTGAATCAAACAACAAGGGCTCCACCCAGCACCCTGTGACCAGCGTGACGGGCGAACGATGCGAACGGCTCCGAAGTTGGGCCGAAGAGGCGTCCAAAGAACGGCTTGCCTGTCACTGAACTGAAGCGGTTGTCTATCATGGTTCATCAAATGAACATTATGAGAGGACCAGCAAATCCAACTTCCATCTGTACTTCATTGTGCTTCTTGATGCAACACTTCTCAATACCTCCCCTCAGTGCAGGATTGTATATATATATATAAGTATGTTGCACATTGGCCTTCAGTCTCCGTCCATCCGTCCCTTCTCAGCCGCGCATCGAAACTGGGCCAAAGGATGCAGTTCCTGCTGCTCGTTGTAGATAGGCTCCGTTTGATACTCCTCAATCTCCTGCCCGTGAACGCGCTGGTTTAGGTGTCACACTTCTGTAAGGCGGAAGGAGTCACACTCGCAAGAGGTGGCGCAAAAAACATCGCAGCCCAATGCCCTAACCAGGTGCAAATCCGCGTCGTCATCTGTCCGGCCGTCCCACAAAACATGTGTTTATTCTTTCCTTTAATCACCAGCTAACTTTTGGAATCTCACATCTGGAAAACCCAATCCCCAGGACCACTATTCATCACGAAAATGGCTTACTACTTCGCATGGATCGGAAACAATAAAAAAACACATCATGCATCGAAGAAAAGAACACCTTCCCAATCCGGCGAGCCCTGTTCCGATGCCGCTTCCACGCCTGCATGAACTGAACCGGATAATTGCTGACGCCGATGTGACGGCAAAAACCTCGACGTTTGGCCTCTTCCATATTCAGCCAAGACCTGGCATCTATGGCCATGTTTCAGCATCTTAAGGCTTTTAGATGGTGCTAAAGAAACGCTCAAAGCATTGGATGTGGACAGTAAACTGCTGATCTTCAAACCTGCCAAGTTGGGAAAAATCTTGGCCCGCCCTGCTACCATCAGCCTCACCTGGACAGAAAAGCATAAGCTGCGAATACTACCATCATCTTCCTCTTTGTTTATGCTTGCCCCCCCATTATTCTACTTCCAATATCTTCCAATCTACTTGTGGTTGGCTACAGCAGCTGCTTGCACTGGTGCCTCTTTCGCTGCTGATAAGCCTCGCGCTTGCGTGCCTCGACCTCCTGCGGGACAACATCAGTGGAGTGCCGGTCAAAAGCAAGCTCTGCTTAGCCGTAGCCACAAAGCACTGGAATTTGCAGGGCGACTGGCATAGCCATGGGGGTCGGAGCCCAAGCACCCACAAAGTTCATGCTAACTGTTCAGCAAAGTTCAAAGGGCAGGGCTTGTCCAACAAAATAACAAGAAAGACGTCCAGGCTGCACTGACAACGAACCCCTCAAAACACATGAATCACTCGATATCAATCGCCTCCTCTCATCCATGCTGCCTCCCCACCAGGCTCCTCTTCCTACGCGCCCCGCTCCGCCGCTCCTGCGCGGTGAGGGCTTGCGTGGCGCCCAGGACCAGGGGCTCGGTCCAGCTGGGCATCTTGGGCCAATAGCCATAGAGGTGCGGCAGAAAGGAGGCCCAAAGCTCCTCAAAAGTCGAAGCGAGCGAGCGACCAACGAAGCGAACCCTGAACATCCTCCGTTTGGGACCAACCAAAAAGTCAAGTGCGGTTTTTGCATGAAAACAGCATTCTGAAAGAAGGACGTGACGGTGTGTTTGTTCAACGTCTATATGTACTAAACATATGCAAAAATTCCAGGCTTGTGCGAACAATTTGCTGTTCGACACTTGCAGTGCAGGACCTTCGGATGTGTTGGGACACCTCGCAGGTACACATGTCTGCTTTCGGTTGCCCAAGCACGTGCAACCCCATCCGAGCGCAGCGCACGGGAGATCCCGACGGAACGCTGGCGCCACCACTCCCTGCCGCCATCGAATCGTGGAACCACGTGGGTCCGAGCGGCCAGTGCTGAGGTGGAGGGTGCCTCAGTCAGCAATGGCTTCTGCAGTGCCCCGCTCTTGGGTTCTTTGGGGGCACTGACTGGTAAGGTCTGAGATGAGGGACAGCGTGACGATGAGAGATGAACGCATGTTCTTTGAATCAATTTGTGGGTTCAAATGCAGTAGATGTTTGATGATGTTTGTAGATGCTTGATGTTGCAGTCTAACTCAACGGGCCCAGAAGCATTGACTCGCACTATTCCCAGAAATTGGTCTGGTAAATGCAGTGACACTCTAGACACATTGACTCTAGACACTTGTTCAGTGGGGAGTTGGCACCAGCTCTACCTGGCAAGAATGTGAGTCCCAAGGTGCCCACCCCTGTCCCCAAAATCGCCCACTCCAGTGCCCAAACAAGTCCATTTGTCAACCGGACCAAAAACATCGAAACAACCAGCTCCCTTCCCGCATGAAGTGCTGCCAAAGTCACATGGATCAAGCACAAATCCAAATACCTACAGATTTGGGTGCAAAGCAAAAGCGGCATAATAAAGCGGCCGATTTTCTTTCATCGCAAGTGACCAAAATAGCTTCCCTCACCGTGTTGGTGAACGCAACCTGTTGGTCACCATGGGGGGGGAATATTCAAGCTACGAAACCAAGCCTCTCAAACCATCTCAAACCACATGCAAGTGCAAAGTCAGTCTGTCAGTCATAGCCGTAGCCATGTGGTAGTGGCCCCCAACATCCCCCAACCCAACTGTAAATGCCACTCCGTCCCCAAAGTTCTTGCATAGCACAGTTCACAAGCAGAGTCACTCAACGCCTAGCTCCTGCAGGCTCAGCTCAATTCCCTGCGCTCAACGGACAAACACGAACACACACCGAGGAACAAGCAGGATTGGTCACTGATTGGGGGGGGCCCAGCGCTGTGCAAGGACCGTGACGACCGTTCATTGACTGGGTATTCCACTAGGCTTGCAGCATAAAAACTTAAGAAGATCCAGGTGGAGGATAAAGGGATCGCCAGCTACCAACTGATAGATGAAACATCTTTCAAATGTACCAGGCAAAAGCGAAACTGATCAGCTGTGGAATCATCCAGTGCGGATGTAGCGGAATAGCCGTTGAATATCTGCTACTGCTATAATTTGCAATATTAATGTATAAGTGCAGGGGATGAAGAAATACTATTCCTGCACAAGGTGGAGGCTGTGCTAGACGTCTGCTAGACTTTAAGTAAGGGACCCACACCCGCTGGGACTCTCTCAACCCACTCCGCGCTGCGCCTCGATCTCCTTCCCCTTCACATTGAAGGGGTGGAAGGTCAACTCAGGTGGGAGCGGTGATTCTGTCATGCCAAAGGTGCTTTGGTGCTCCTGCGGCAGTGGTTGTTTAGCTTTGGCCCATGTCGAGTAGCAACATACCGAGTGATGTGGTCTTATGAGAGGGGCTCTGACACGCAACAACAGGTTCTTTCAATGGGCAAGTTTGTTAGATGAGAGGTCAACTTAGCATCCATCTTAGCATCGACCTTGTCAGCTGTCCTTCGGAAGCTCCAGGGAGGAGGGAAAGAAGCTCACCTTGGACGTGAGGAAGATCTCCTCAACCACCACGTGCCGCCGGTCTCGTCACCGACGTCACAAACGTCGAGACCGACGTCACGGGCCTGGGACCGACGTGGTGCCGCTGAGCTGCAGAACCCAAGGTAAAACCCCAAAAACAGCTCGGACGTCATTTGCCATGGGAAATGTGCTTGAGCTACCCCATTCCATTCAATCATTCTGATGATGCCTAGGTATCGACTGCAATGGGAAATTGGCAGAATTGGGAGGAGTCTGTCATGCGTTTCTGCAAATATCCAACACTCCACGTGACTCCACGTATGGAAAGAACAATCGACCAAACACGAAGTGTCTGGGAGTAGGACTTTGACGTCAATTCCATCCCTCCATCTCGCTCCTCCCGCGGCACGTGGCTCTCTTCCATCGCTTGTCGGACCATCGCATGATTCCTCGACGGAAACGACATCCGTGGCGTCTGGCTGACAGGGAAGGATCAAAGGGGCAATTGAATTCAATTGAATTCGTTTTCTGGCCTTGTGACCTTGTGCCCTTTTTTCTGTGGCCAAGAAAACACCACCTTGTGTTTCGCCCTGCCATTGAAGCATCAAGCTTACAAAAAGGATCAAACAGGGATTATGATCGTTCACTATTCACCAACTCAAATCCATCCAAGAAACACCCAAAGATCCTGTTCTTCCATGTTCTTCCCACTGAGTCTTTGTTGATAGCCTTCAGCTGACATCCTGCCGAGGGGCTGGTATATTAAGGCGGTGTCCAAGGTCCGGTAGCCCATTTGGATGGCCTCCACCATGGTGGACACCTCGAATCCGGAGGTCCGGGAGAGGTCCGTGGGGGGGGGAACCGGTCAGGTGAAAAGGTCGGACGTCTCCCAGAACGCTATCTTGGTGGAATCATAGTTCAAGGAAAGTGTGAACTTCTGAAGCTCCTGCAGTTGCGAGCTTCTACCTCTTGACATGCTTTCACAGCTTTGATAGCTCTTTGACGCTCGAACGCATCCAAAACAAAGGCTAAGCTAATAGGGGTAAAACGATCTGAGGCAAACCGACCCCCCCCTTCCCAATTGCAAATCAACATGGCCTTTTTGATGCCCGCCGTGCCCAAGCCCACCATGGCCAGCTCCGGCAACGCTGCCACTTGTGGGAACGTCCAAAGGGCCAGGATCGTCAGCAGCCAGCGCGGCCACATAGCGTCCATAGTGGATGGAACCAGATCACAGCAACCACCCAGCTTCACACGTTGAGCAAAGCATTGGTTAAGTTGGACACTTGTTTGTGTGTCGAAGCGTGCGGTTCCTATACTGAACATGGTACACCTGGAGTTGGCAGCTCTATAACAAACGATGCTCAAAGTTTGTCAACCAAATTCACCAAACTCGCTTCTTGAGCTTGGAACTCAAGATCTGTCTTCACAGACCGCTGCACGGCACCATCCCTATTGTTATTGCTACTATTGCTGCTACTGCTGCTGCTGCTGCTGCTGCTGCTGCTCTATATGATATATACAGTATATATATATATATTAAATATATGTGTGTCGTGGGAGCTCAAGGTTGGTCAAGACGTCACTAGTACATGTCTTCAGCTGGCTTGTGCGATTGGCAAGCTTCATCAGCGTCCAACCCTTTCTTTCGCACAAACTCCGCAAACAAAAAAGGCTCAAAGCAAGAGGAGCTGCGCTCACCACAGATCTTACACGAAACAATTGCGTTTCAAGCGCAAAGTCTCATGGAGCAGAATGGGACAAAAGTCACAAAATCGTTGGGCAAGCACAGCATGAAAAATAACTTCTGAGCTATCCGTTTACAGGTCATCCAGTACGTCATTCACGCACCTTTTTGGGGCTCAAAGTCACTGACCGGGCGCCTGTGCTTTGCAACAGGGCCTCAGCCAAAGCATTGAGGACCAAATGATGGGTATGAAAAACACCTAGCTGCACTAGAATTGAGGTCATACGCTCACTCTCACTGGGGAAGAATTCTTCTGCCCATATCTTCTAAAGATTCTGAAGCTCTGAGGCAACACAAAACGCCAAACCTACCACAAACTCGACATAGCCCAGTTCACCTAGTCAAATAAACATCACCTCCATGATAACCCTCCCTCTTTCCTCACGCGACCGGGCCTCAAGCCTCAGCCTCCAAGCGCTTCCTGGCATTCCCAGCAATCTGCACTTCAATGCAAAGATCCATCACGCGTTTAAGAATGTCACAATTGCCGGTCATTGTGCAATTACGCCTCATCTTCTTGATCTATAGCTGTGTGAATTCTTGTTGCCACATGGATAATGGATATAGGTTCTTCTGCAGCTGTGAGTTTAGCTCGCTCGTGTAATCCAAAGTCAAGCAATTAGATCAACGGTATATCCCATTACCAGTAACACTGGATGATGGTGGTTAGTAAAGGCCTCTCCCTGCCTCTCTCAAGAACAGTGATCATACAGTGATACTCCTAATCTGTTACCGACTGGTTTACTGGGACATACTGGGACATACCCTATATAGGCTCTTTTTGGTCGATACGCTTGGTGAGTATCACTTGTACCACAGCTCCGTCTTCACAACCTCACGTCGCTGCGCCTGTCGTCCAAGAGGACTCGATGCTTCCCGACCAACATCTGGCAGCGGATCCCAATCTCGCGGATGCTATCCGAGATGAGCCTCGGTGTGTCGGTGAGTCTCGGCATGTCGGTCAAAGCACCTGACATGAGTGCAGAAAAGAACGGTCTTAGTTGAACCCCAGAAACATGTGGAAGGGTCGGCGAGGAGTGTTACCCTGTTGTGCAAGTATGAGACTGAAGAATGTGGTCTTAGGTCCATTGCGCTTCTGTGAGCCTGACGTGTGGCCAGGAGAACCTATTGAAACAAAAAACCTGATGGCCGATGACTGCTGGTTTTGGAGCTCCACCACCCTCCTCAACGCCCCAAGCTTCGATTGACCTGCCTTGTTTGAGCCAGGCTAGCTACTAAATCGGAACTCATCCCACACCTAATTCTACTTCCATGATTGTTGGAGAGAGAGAGAGAGGGATTCTAACCGATCCTCCAAACGCTATACATCCCCCCCGCTATTCTTCGCCCCCAGCGGCTGCGTTTCCTGCCCCATGGCCCGACGCCGCTCCAGCTGCGCTGCCTCCCACTGCCTCGTTGGCGCGGTGGAAGACCGAATGGCTTCGAGGTCGCCCCAGAGCCGCAAAGGTCCCGGTGGAGCTGGGGGGCGTAGCTGTAGCTAAGCAGCTATGCCCACCGGGAGAACCCCTCCCTCTGGGTGGGAGGTGGGAGGTGACAGACATATTACATATTCTACGCTCTTCGGTTCGGGTGCCAAAGCGAGCTTAACAGGATGATCAGCTCCCCAACCCATGCCTTCTAAAAGCTGTGACTCTGACATCATCTGTTTTTGAAGTATAATAGTTGAAGTGTGGATCAGCAAGTCAAGCCACCTTTGATGCCAGCAACTTGTAACTGCCGCCCTGTGACAATTCATCTCCAAGGAATGCATCATACATGTCTCAATCCCTTGCCAGAGTTCAGGGAAGCGTCATCAGCGGTTCCAAAGACGCGCAAACCATAGACCGACCGAAAACCAAAAAAACACGGCTGCAGCGGCTACCTGAGATCCACCGGGCTTGTCATGAACCCCTCGGGCAAACTCCCAGCTCCGGCGCCTGAGCTTTCGTTCTTGCTCCGCCAGCTGCTGCCGGAGCTTCTTCAGCACCACCTGAAGCACAGCGATGCACCTTTCGGCCAAAACAGGACTTCTCTATAACATGCCCTGACAAGAAGAAACAACAAATCTCTACTCTATATATATATATATAAACACACTAGATAGCTCATTTTTGTTCTCAGGCTTCTCAGGGGTTCACAATACTAGAGCAGTACAAATAGAAAAACAATAACATTGACAGGTAACAACACATTTATTGGTATTCTTCTGTGGCAAGGGGAGCCATGGATGTCATGTTTTCTTCATGCCATCAGGGTAGTCAAGTTTAGCTGATCAACTGTTGCTAAAATTGGGAATTGATTGACTTCGGACGATCGGATTACAAATCCTTTTCCTCTGAGTCCAAATCTGGACTCCAACCCTGGACACTACAATAATGTTCGTCTTGATCATGGCTCAACGGGCTAGATCTACACAGTAGAAGCCGATGTCTGTCTATGCTTAATTACTCCAACATGTAGTGTCTTGCAGGCAGCTCAAAGGCTTGAGGGTACTCAACAAGACCAATGCAAAGCAGGTCCAGGGAAGAAAACATGCAGGCATAAAGAATCACCACAAGTCTATCCCATTCCTCATCTCGATGCCTTGCCCTTGGCTTCTCCGGCTTCCTCTCCGCTCTGGTGACACAGTTCAAACTACAACATCAGCTCTCTCCCTCTCCCTCTCAGGCGGTACAAGAGTCTCTCCATACCGCACGAATTGTGGCCAGTACACAATTAAACAGCAGTAGCCTGTAAATGTCTGACCCTGGAAATCTTGGAGTGCCTTTGCTGCCTTTGCTTGCACTTCGCCCCAAAGACTGAAGAGGGGGTTCCCAGGGTCCCAAAAGGCAGAGCTAGTCCCAAAGGATCCCAGCTTGTGCTAACGAAGGCCAACACAAACTCCAAAGTCCTGCAAGACGCTACAGTGCTTCCTTTTGCCGCGAATAGTTTGCATGTTGCGGTCCATCTTGATTCCAGGCGATCTTAATAGGCAAAGCTCCCGGAAGAAATCAACATACACAACCCCTTGGCCCCAGGGCCGCTGAAATCCCACCCATCTGGGCCGCTCCATCATTGCCCTCCACACCCCATCATTGCCCTCCATCCCCCTCCACACCCCATCTGGGGCGTTTTTCCTATCCTTTCTCCACCGCCCGGTGGGTTTCACTGGTGTTTTCACCGCTCCTGGCGATCGGTGCCCAAGACCTCGGAGGCGATCTGCTGAGCCTGGCGATCGATGATCGGAGGGATCCGACCGGTGGAGATTCGGAAACGGAAACGAAGCAACGGATGAGTAGCAACTGAGTACAACTGGACTAGTTGATAGCAACTAGGAGTAGTTAATGAATTCTACCATCATGCATATGTCATATTATGTCAATTTATGTCATATGTCTAACATGTGCGGAAGTGGTTTTGAAATGAAAAGACACCAACATGTCTACGAGGGCCGGCCATTTGGCATTGTTATGCTCAGGCGAGCATGTGTGTAGTGTCTCAAAATATGGGTGGCCCCGCCCTGAGAAACACCTGCAAGCCTGCCAAGTGAAAAGCTAGCTACCTTCGAGGCTTTGCCATTGGTTGTGATGGGCCAGGCTTCTGGTTTATCTCCGGCTGCCAAGTGGATATCCACAGCTTTCCGTCTGATTCCGTTGCAACACTTAAGCTTATCTTGTGCCCTTGGGTGTTACAAACAACTTACAGTATATTGATACACGGCAACAGTGCCTACAAAAGAGAAAAGCTTGCATGCTTGATTCTCATGATGAAGATCCTTCCCTCCCCAACCAAAGAAACTACCACATCACATATCCCAAAACCCAACAAACACCCAGTTCCAGTGGCCCAACCCGAACCCATGTCCAGCCTTGTCGTTTGGCCATCCACAGCTGGACGCGGCCTTCTCTGCGGCCGCCCGCACCGCCCGGTCCAGCTCGGGAGATCGCGATTTCATGCCTGCAGCATAGCAAGAAGGATGAAGAAACCGCTGGCAGGTCGGCTGAAAAGGAGGCCATCGCGTTTGTAGGTTGGAGGCCATCGCAACCAAAAAACAAGCGTTTCTGTTTTTTGCATGCTATGCCTATGTTTCTTCCACTTGCAGAAGAACTGCGTGAAAGCTGGAGCCAAAGATTCCACCGACCCTCGCGGAAACGATCCCATGGAACCTAAGAAGAAAGACCGGTGGTTTCGACCATTCTCCGAATACCAGCCCAGTGGTTTTTGGGGTTCCATGTGGCCCTCTGCAGGGCAGTAACAAGTCGTTCCATGTGGAAACGGCATCTGGACCACGTTTGGACCCGAGCAAACTTGGTGCGGAAGCACCTTGGCACACGTAACAAGTTCCTGTTTCTTCGGCTTGAAAGATTTGAATGTGCATTTGAAAAAGGCGAGACCGGACCTCCAACCAATGGGTAGACTGGCCTATTTCCCTTCTTCCAGGATGTTTTTTTGGAGGTCTGCCTATTGTCAATACACACCCATATCTTCCAAGCCATTGCAATAGAAATGGTTACAAGGGTTACTCTGCCAAAAACTCTGGTTTGGTTGCATGGACAGCCACAATGGCTTTAGACCAATAGCTCCGGGCGTTTTACCAGCATCCACTTAATTACATTTTCTGCAATTGCTATTGCAAGGACCTAAGGACTGGAACAAATGTCTGCCATTCTATATCAGCCATAGTAGTGTTGATTTCACCTGACACCAGGAAGCCGACCGACCGGAAGCAATATCACCTGCGGCTTCCGCGGCTGCCAGGGCTGAGGAAGCGCTCAGCTGAACCTGCTCCTGACGCTCTGTGGTGCGGAAGAGTCCCGCAGTGAAATGCCGACTTGAAACCATAGACATCCCTATAGACCATATACATGCGAAACATGACAGCTTATCAGCTTATCTAACAAACTAAGTCATGGACACAACCCCCAAACTCAAAAGGAACCCATTTCTACAGGTCACGTTGTCTGGGATAAAAGGACAACCCTCAGAGCGATTCCAAGGATACTTGGCTCATACATTGTGAGGGGATCCCTTGAAGCATAACCAAGCCTTTTAATGATTTCCAAGCAACCCAAACCCTTGATGTAACAAATCCAAACGCATCCCACACGACAGCCTGCCCTGCCCCCCTCCCTCCCGTCCCCCCCCCCTCTTAGGTGGAGAATCAGAATCTGCTTCGAACTGTGGAACACTGTTAATAAGCATCATTAGGCTGCCTGCCAATGCGGGCTCGAGCTGGTGGCCGGCGGCATGCCGAAGGCTGTAAATATAAATCTATAAAAACAAGGTCACTTGAACCCTTTTCCACCTGTTGGATTGGAGGGGCGAAACCAATACCTCCTCCCCAAACCAGGTGATCCACACACTGCCTGGGTAGGACACCATGACTCTTCACCCTTGGACCACATCATCGATGCTGGACATCTGCCTTCTTGGACTTCCCCGCGATCTTCGCCCCCACCAGCGCAGCTGAGGCCGCAGCATCTGCCGGAAGAACAGCAAGAAAAAACACTATATAGTGGGATGCCCAGGAAGAACAATTTTACAGTGGTAAGAACTGTCGTACATGGGAATTATCATTGTACATCATGTTACAAGACAATTGTAATCATTTGTGCATGTTGCACGATTCAAAAGGTGCTATATAGAGTATATATACGTTTAAACTACCAAAAGTTCCAAGCTTTATTTCAATCTCCCTCTAACCCACAAATAAACACAGCAAATCAAGACCTAAGAAACACTGCCAACAAAAATAATCCTTATCCATGTACACAGTACGCCTCATCCGTATTACTGTTCTGTCATTGCTTGCGCGCGATGTTTGTGTGCAAAGAGCAGTCTCACCTGCCTGCCGCCGCACGCCCCCGGTCCGCCGGCGACGCGGCATGTGCGGCGTCGGCAGCGGCTGTGGCAGCCGCTTGCGCCTGCAACTGCAAAGGCCTGGAGGCGACGGCGTCGGCACCAAATGCGATGTGGCGCTATGCCGGGGGGGCCGCTCAACAAGAAAAGCATCCAAAGCACCAAACGCAAGAGACAATCGATGTCCAATAATAGACAGGTACTATATAGACAGGTGTTCTCCTATGGATCCTAGGTTCCCACCAAACTAGCTACCAACCCCAGAATTTCCACTCCAAGCTGCTTCTTGGCGCTCCGCGCTGCAGCCGCCGCAGCAGCCCCAGCAGCGGCGGCGGAGAGCAGCACCTCATCTCCGCCATGTGCACGGGCCGCGGCTGCGGCGGCCGTGCGAGCAGCCTGGACCTGTGGGAAGCCCAAGAAGAGCCACCAAATCATGAAAACCCTTCAACTTCAGAGGGATACAGTTTAAATGGAGGTGTTGGTGAACTTGTGAACTTGTATCTCTATCAGGAACCTTTAAGAAACAGCTTCAGGCTCAGCACATCCGCACTAACTCATAGCTTGATGATGCTTGATTCACTGCAGCCTGCTTTGTAAGTATGAAGGATGCTCTGGGGTGGGTGGAAAGCGGGCCTCTGTATACTTTCTGTCAGGAATCATCGAAAGTGGATTGCAACACCGCAACTCCCCGCAGTTTGCGAGGAGATTTCATTTCCCAGTGACAGGGCTAGAGGAAGTTGCTAGGAGGCCCAAGGAAATAGACAAGGAGCAAATCAGGAAGTTCAGGCAAAAGGCCTCTCCAACCAACCAGTACTATCTGTCTTGATCAGTTCAGAAATTCAGAAATACTTAAGGCGGCCCGCTGATGCTCATGACTAAGTACATGTCCGGCGGTTTTGTCCGCTGTCTTATGCTCAGATTGTTCATCACGTCAAAGTTGAATCCCTCACCCATCCTGCTCTTCAGCATCCTTCTTCTCCGCACGCTTGGCTGTGGCCGCTGCCGCCCCCGCAGCTGCTGCAGCAGCAGCGGCAGCAACCGGCGGGGCTGCGCCACGGCGTTCTGCCGCGCTGTGCGCGGCATCTGCGGCGGCTTGGCATTGCTCCTAGCAGAAAAAACGCTCTGGTCTGAATCACATGATGTTGAAATGCTGGCACTTCTGGATATTGGGTGGATTAGATGTATTGACATCAGTATCACAACTCTTGAGACGCTTGAGACGCTGGGCGCAAGGAGACGTATGGACATAAGCTTGGATTTGCTTGGGGAACTGAGAACAAATAACAACAACTCAGAATAAATACACCCATAGGGAAAATAAACATCACCCTCAGCAAAACCAAGCAAGTGACCAGGTCCATCTCCCACCCTCCTCGAGTGAAGCCCCTTGTGCCCTCTGTGCTGCAGCAGCCGCTGTACCGGCCTGCTCTGGGGACAAGCTGGGTGCCGCCTGCGGCAGAGTTCTACGTGGGCGGACGTGGACGTGGACGAAAATAACAGCTGAGGCCGTGAACTGACGCTTCTTTGCAAAGGATCTGTAGCTCACAACCGTCGCGTGGTGTTTTGAGGAAAAACGTTCCAAATCCAGAACGGCTTCGACAGCTTTCTGTGTGTTCCCACAGGGCCCCAAGTCGTGTCTTGACAGGATACCATGGTCGTTCGATGTGTTGCAAAGAAATGCGCTCGGATTTGCTCGCCCCGGCTTTTCGGGGTGTGACAACACTGACAAAGAAGAAGAACAATAATAACAACAACAACAACACCAACACAAAACACTATAGGGCTGTATGGTAACCAAACCAATGTCAAAGCACAGCACCTAGGTTGAAACGTCACATGCGCAATTCAAGGCAACTCATTAAAAACAACGCAGATTCCCAGTCTGAGGGGTCGCAGTGTCCTGTTTCAAACAAAAACTAAAACCACATCAATGGACACGTGCAGGTCCTTGCATCAGAAACATACAAAAACAAACAGGTTCAGTTTACGACCGATGCTAGCAATCAAAGCTCGAAAAAAACGGCACTAAACATGTGCCGGAGATGTACGTAGAGCCTGTTAATTGGAAATTGCATAGGGTTTCCACAAGAATGCCGCAAAGACCATCACAATTTGTAAGCCCAAGGCTACCATCAAATTGCCACCACTGTCAGCCGCTTTGGCCAGCTGTACCTCTTTCATCCTCTTTCCAGGTCTTGAACATGAACACTTCCTGTCTGCACCCATCTGTTCCTGGGCGGCTATTTTTCTATCAGGCCCCAGCCTGGGCCTCTAAGACCTCATCTAACCTGAGAGCCCCAGAGTCGAGAGTGATTGACCCTACCATGCAGCTGGCCTCCAGCTGGCCCAACTCCCCGCAGCAAGACGTTGCAGAACATGAGAACTTCTGGTTCAAGGGCCGTGGAGCATCACGGGGTGTCGTGAAGCATCTTTCGTTTTGAACAAATTGGAACAGCAAGTGGCCAGGCCTTCAGCCGGAAGTCCCAAGAGATCTAGATCCATCTAAATCTCAAAAATCATAATTCCATACAATTCGCACCCATTCACCTTTTTTGAACCAACCCAAACAACTCGATCGCCGGAACGAATGCTTGGTTCTTCCAAACGTGCTTGGTGCGACTCGTCGCGACTCGTCCAGGCGACTCGTCCGGCACGTCGGGTGGCTCCAGGCTCTCACCTGGAGTGCATCGGTGACGAGGTACGGCGAGGTGCCGTCTGGGGGCCTTTTGATGCTGCGGGAGGTGGTTTTTGCTTTTCACCTTGGAGGATGATCAAGCGAATTGGGATGTTTGCATTATTTTGTACTCTAGGCATAGGGCCTCCGCACATCCGAGACGAGTATTGGTTCTAGGAGGTTTTCCCCTTGGATCCGAGGGATGCGGATCCTCATGGATCCGAGGGATGCGGATTCTTCCCAAACCTGCAACAGGTGGTGCTTCGAAAGTACCATGGACCCCGATAAATTCTCATGTTTTTGTGCTTAGAGCGTCCAGGTGACTTACCCTCCAACAGTCGTGGAAGTGGATGATGGCACCAGCTGTTTGTAGTGGAATATGATGAAACATTGTTTCCCAATGTTTTCCAAAGGGCCCGGCAATCCACTTCCAATGTTTGTTGGAGGGGGAATGAGGGGGAGCAACTTTACTTGTCTTTGCTGCCCACCTGCATCCAACCGAGAGCTGGCAGGGCTTGCAGGGCTGGCAGGGCTCCGCTGCTTCAGATCTTCTAAAACCTGATGGCTTTGGCAAATGGTGTCAAACACCTGTACCTTCAAGCGTTTGAACATGGTTGGATCCGGACCTGACTTTCAAGCCAAATATCAACAAAAAGTCTTTGCAGCATAGCAGGTCCCTACGGCTGAATGAACATTGCAACATAATATATAATCCCACGTATCATATCCCAACCAACAATGTTCCTGAGATTATATATATTTGGTCAAAACATGCCGCCTTCCAAAGCAACTCTCCCCTTCAAATCGCTCTCCACCACCCAATCATTTATCACACTTTCACCTTCACCACCATTACTCCACGAAACACGGACCGGTTTAATATTCCTGAAAATGATTAGGAAGTGGATGGCCTGGCGCGCCCCCCCCCCCCAAAAGAAAACTATATCACCGTTTTCCGAAGAACAACCAGGTGGTCCGGTGGTGCCATCGGGTTTTGGGGAGGGACTCCCTCCACCTGCCTGGCGCTGCTGTTCCACACGTCTTTGGTGCTGGAACAACTCCTCCTGCTTCAAGCTCGTGGCCTCTTCACACTCCTCACTGCTCAGGACCCGAGAACCACGGACACCGGGCGGAATGCTTATTTCGCTGCACATGGATGTGGTGAGATCGTGGCAACTAGTCGAATCATGTCGCACAGAGTGAGTCGCCCATTGAAGTTGCAACTGCCAGTAGTTCTCCAAACATCTTTAGACCCACCAAACGCTGGTGCCCAGCCAGCTCCTCCCTCTGCTGCTGCTCAAGGAGTTCTTGCTTTTGAAGCTCCTGCCTCGGATGCACAGAACAGTTTTGTTCCGTTCCTGCGCAGGGCGTACAAAAGGCTGTTGGCTGTCGGTTAGTAGATTCTTGCGGTTGGTTAGTTCATGACCATGGTGCTCATGACTAAGGAGTTGTAGGATGTTCTGGGCTGGACGAAGGATACTTGCCACCAGCATGGAGGGCTCAAAAGCCAGGTTCTGGCACTGCAGGTTCTTCCACTGTCGGACACCCTTTCTGAAGCTCAGCCGTGCCACGAGTCACGGAATGACCAAAAGTTCTTCCCCAACAACAAAGGTCCAGCACCACTGCAAGCATCGATTGGCACACCCGCGGTGCATTTTTTGCACAAGTGAACCACTTTCTTTTTGTCTCGCTATCGCGATCTGGTTCTCAAGCCAAACGGACCAGTTGAAAACAACCAGAACCTTTCTATATCATCACCATAGACCTTTGAAAAGGTCTTTCTATCAGATTTCTCACCAAATGGACCTTTCTCGAGTCACCTCCTGAAGCACTCCATCCACGACCCGCAGGCAACAACCTTTGAAGAGGTCCCATAACTATCAGCTTTCTCACGCCAATATGGACCCTTTCTCAAGGTCGAGTCCACCCCAGAAGTGCACAAAACCTACCGACGCAATTGAGAACGAGCCGCACTCTCAGCTCTTGCACATCCTGGATCGATACAAACCGAACCGGAGCAGCAGCAAACGACCAGTGAACGGAGCCCAACAGAGTGAGTGGAGCCAGTGAGAAAAAGTGGCACCAAAGCACCAGAAGCAAGCTTCTTGAGTCGTGACCGACATAAACACTAACACCCCTATATATATATAAATATATATATAGGACCCAACTAAGGTTTGCCATTCCTGCTGGGGAGTTCAGGAACCATGGCGCGCGGTTCGCTGAGTGTTCCATGATCCCTTCAACAGGTCTTGATCATCTGTGCTCACTTGGAGAAATCCGCCTCCTCTTGCAGCTGCTCTTCCCGCTGGGCAGTGCAACGCTCCAACTGCTGCTCGAGCCTCTGCAACTCCTTGCGGAAAGGCTATGAATCAACCTCCTCAACTTGGAAAACAAATTGTCAGTGTAATCGTCAGTGTCAGCAATATCTGCGGCAGTTCTTGCTTGTCAACACCAAACGAATGTGTAAATGCATCTTGGAGGGCATGGCGCTATTTGTGCCCGCCGGCAGCCAGCAACGAATGGACCCAAGTCCCAAGTGTTGCAAAGAAGGACTCCTGCATGTCCCTATCCAACCTCTCGTCTCGACAGTACCCAAACAAACCTCTCTCTCCTCCCAAACGGCGGTCCTCCGCAGCAGAGGTTGCTTCAGCTGCAGCCCACGCAGCTCGATCCTCGCGTGCCTTGCGCTGCAACCTGAGGTGAAGAAAGAAACCATGGATGGGGCGTGCGACAAGGATGGGACTGCTTAAGTCCATAGGAGTGGCTACTTAAACTCTCCAAACCCCAAGAGTACCAAGACTAGGTGGGTATGTGTCTTCGAATGATCCAACAAGTCAAAAAGGATCCTCCGACTAAACCCACGGCTGATCAGTTGCCAAGCGTCTCAACTGGCCAAGTCACAAGAACCTCTTTTGCATATCCTGGATCAAAGTGGACCTTGCAATCCATAGTCTTACTAAAGTCACCCATCGGTCTTAAGTCACCAGTCACCATAGCCATAGTTATATAACTTATAACTCTTTAAGTCTACTTCAGAGTTTCCTGTCTTAAGTAGGTCACCAGTGTTAAGTAGTTAAAGTCTTAGTTAATGGGCATTTCTCATCTCTGGTATGCCCTCAAATATTTGTGGTGCGGCTCTCAAAGCTCCCTCGTGTGACCTCATGCCACCGTCCCATTGCTTCTCATAGCTTTGGACAGCTTTACATACACTCGAGCTTGGAGGGGAGGCACCGTTTTCCTTCAGTAGGTTTCTGGACGGATTTCAATCAAACAAGTCTTAGTATCCTTTTGGTGAGGGCCTCATATCTCCAGTTTTTTTGAACAAAACACTTTTTTATTGAGACCAAAAAATCAAGTGAGATAATTGTAGGTGGGTCTCCTGTCCTGCTTATCTCGTCATACCATGGGTTGATTGTGGCCCATCTAGATCAGTCACCCACAAATATTGTCGCCCAGGAATACAGCGACGTGGGCAACGTCCCTCCCTTGTTTCACGCGTGCCGAAGGGGCTGCTGTTCTCGAAGCAGTGAGGATGCCTCAAAGGCTGACATCAATGGGCTGGAAACTGGAGGGGTTTCCCTTTGCGTCCCTTGAAAAACCACCAAATCCCTGTTCCATGGATCATGGTCTCTGTGAGGGTTGGATACCCAGGTAGCCAAACCAGGTAGCCAACCCCTGAGCACCAGCAAATGGGGAGTCCACAAACTTCCACTGCCCTTTCATCGGCTGGACTGCAAATAAGCTGACGCGAAACATCTTCCCAGAAAACTGCGCTTCTTCTGGTCATGTCCGAGCACCTGATGGGGCATCAGCAAGTCGTGCGTTTCTTTTGTATGAGGAAAAGCCGAGGAAAATGCCTTGGCCAAAGGTGGGTGGCACCACCATTCCCCGGTGAACTTGTGTAATTTACTCCTTGTCCTTCGCTTTGAGCTGACATCAAGGAGGAAACTCACACATGAGTCATACCAGTTGGTCATAATTATATAAATGTTCCAAGAAATCTAAGTCAACGTCAGCAAGTTGCTTCTATACTTCCAAGTGCCACCTTCATCCATGGGTATGTGAGGTGCATGAGCTCCACCACAATAGCTTTGAGCTTTCCCGACCTCAAAACCACAGCCCCCAGCTCCACCGGCCGCACCCAGCAAGGCATTCTTCAGGTCCGAGTTTCTGCCTCCGACTTGGAGATCACCTCGTCAGGAGTTGGGCCTTGAACCACCGAGCCACCTGATGGGTGTATTGGGTGTCCAAACCATGCGGGCACCTGATACTTGCCCACATGGCTCGTTCATAACTGACCAATTACAATTCGATACAGTATATAATTAAGATTAATATAGGATTCTTGTTTGGATTTTGTTGAATGAGTATCATCAAATGAAACACTAAAGAACAAGTTATATAAGAACAATTGCGCTCGCTCTCTCTCTCTCTCTCTCTCTCTGTCTCTCTGAGCCAAACAAATGAAGATGTTGCATCCAGCGGTGCTCACCGACAACATCAAACGACAGAGCCTGGCGCACCGCCGCCAAGTTGGCAGCCACTTCAGTGACATCCTGCAATTCGGCTAGCGTTCAAGGCCTTCTTCCCTCCGTGGTGTTCTACGGTACTCATCATGGGTGTTGGGAAAAAAGGCAAGTCTTGGATCTTAATTTAGCCTCATCAGTTGCAAGTGTACAGTATATCTGAGGTCTATGAGTCTATGAGGTCTATAATGTTCATCAATCATCATCAATCATGCATCGAGTGTGGGTTTGGATTCCTGTCCAAGGCACCATGATACATCATGACACACTTATGAAATCTTTTGCTTCAGGCTTGGACTCTTTGGATGTAAGTCGGCACGCCGTTTGTCAGGCGATAGACGATACAACCGCCTGAAACATCCGACCACCGGCTCACCGACCACCCGAACGTGGACCGTTCCGCACCAATCGCGTGCCATGCTGAAGCAAAAGGGACCAACAAGGAATCAAATAATACCAACCCAACACACACATCATGCATCAAAATGTGCATCAACATGTATCAAAATGCTGAGATGTGTTTGATTCAAAAAGTGACCAACACACACACCATGTCTCAAATTTGGTGTTCGAAATCACCACTTCCGAGATCACCGGCTGCTTCCCGGTTCCCCCGCCGGGTTCGGCCTTCCGCCGGCTCGTCGCTTGGCCCCGCAGGGTCACCAAGCGCTTCTGCATCTCTGCCTGGGGCGACGCGACGGGCGTCCGCCAAAAAGCAGTGGGGTATCGGAGCAGTTGGCAACGCAATAGGAAGAACAACTGGCAATGTCTGGTGGTGTTGCTTTGAAACAAACATGGTCGTTCAAGGCGGTGATTCTGTCATTCAGAAGCACTCATTCTCCTGGCGATTGTGCAGCTGTGGAGAGATTTGCTGGCCTTTCGTGGTCTTGATATGTCCTCTGACAGCCGCAGCCGGCAGAAAGCGGGTAATTCCCTACTATTGCCTACACAGTTTCTCGTGTTTCGGATGTCCAGGTGGTCAAGGGATTTCTATGGATTTCTCCATGCTTGTCTGAGGGATCAACATACATCAAGTGTCTACATGCAGTATCCCAGCTTAAACTTGAAACCAAAGGATCAATCACCGTGGTGCTGTGCGGTGCTATGTGGACTGATGTAGTCTGCGAAGGCTATTCTGGCGAAACCAACGTTTCGGCAATGAAGTGGCACCAAACTTGACAAAAGTGGATTTCAACTTCTACGGGAAGGGTTTTCACCTGGCCAAGGCGCGACTTCCTCATCATTCCGCTTCTTAGTGCCTTCCATCTGGCTCTGCTCCAGCTGGGCATGCCTACCAGCTGTGGGGTTGAGTCATGGCCCAAGCAAACAACAGGATTCCAAACGACATTTCGAGTCCAATATTACTAACAGTGACCTTATCCGCCGACCCCGGCCTAGCTGACGCCTAGGCGGGGTGGCGCCCGGGACACCGCAGGGTGAAACAGTTGCCGAGGCCAATTTCGCCGTGGCTCCGCTGCCTACTCCTGCACCGCAGCCTTGCCTGCGTCAGCGGGAGCCTTGGGAGGGAGCCTCTGGAACGTGCAGCCTGTGGACTG